CTGGAGAAGTTGCTGAAGAAGCCGGGCTCGCACCTGCCCGTCCGCCCCGCCGCCCCCCCGGGGCAGGTACCGGGGCCGGGGTCGGTGCCGGCGCCGCGGCGGCAGAGCCTGTCGCGCCCGCCTGCCTCCCCCGAAGAGCCGGCGGGGCCCGCGGGGCCGGTACCGGGGGGCGAGGGCCGCTGGCTGGAGCTGCGGCCGCCCGAGGCGCCGCTCCGCTCCCCTGATGACCCGTCACCGTGCGGCGACCGCGATCGGGACCGGGACCGGGACCGGGAGCCGCCGAGCCCGGAGCCGCCGCCCGCCGCCCGGTGCTGCTGCGGCTGCGGCTGCGCCCCCGCCGCGCCCGCGCCCCCCGAGCGGCTCCTGGCCGCGCTCCTCGACCGGCTGCCGGCGCCTGCACACGGGAGGGGCTGCGGGGCAGGTACTGGGCTGCGGGACCCCCGGGACGGGCTGCGGGACCCCCGGGACGGGCTGCGGGACCCCCGGGACGGGCTGCGGGATCCCCGGGAGGGGCTGCGGGGGTGCCCGGGGCGGGATGCGCGTGGATCGCGGGGAGATGCGGCGGAGCGGGGAGAGACCGGGGGCGGCCGCTGTTGCGGGGGGGGATGCTCCGGTGAATGCCGGAGAGGGAGACACCAGCGGGGGGACACCGGTGAGGCGGGTGGCCCTGTACAGGGCGCAGCGKTGCCCGCTTGGGGTGACAAGGTCAAGGCCGGGTCCCCGCCGGGGCAGGGCGCCCGTGGCAGCGGGGTGGGCAGGAATCTGCGGGGTGGGCAGGGGTTCCCCGGGTAAGACACCGCGGCAGAAAGGCTGGCAGGGAATACGGGCTCAGCGGCAGCGCCAGCTCGGTGGGGGCCGGGGGTGGCCGGGCACCGGCAGTCACTGCAGCATCCACCTCCYGGTTGGATGGTCCTCAACATCCTCCTGACGCTAAAATTAGCCCCGACGGGAGCTGCAGTGGAGAGGGAGGGGGGGCTGGACGCCCCTTTTCTCCGCGGTGCTGTCCCACCGTGGCTCCCCAGGTGTTGGGGTGGTTTTGGTGCTGGAGCTGGGTGGAAGCCAGGCTGGGTGCAGGTGGGTGGGACCCTTCCCACCCCACGGGGATCCCTGTTCCGGACAATCCCGCTCGGCTGCTGGGACCAGGGGCCATCGGGGACCCGAGGCCACCGCCAGCCCCCTGCTCCAGTGATGCCAGGGCCGGGATTGGGTGCAACCACCAACCCGAGGAGCCCTAGGGTATTGGCGAGCTGGGACTGGCAGCRCCAGGTCCTGCCTGCAGCAACACGCTGCCAGGCCTGGCAGAGCCCGGGCTGGCARGGAGCAGGGGGGCAGGAGCCAGCATGGAGGTCCCGACGTGGGAAAACATCCTTAAGACTCTGGGGTACAGCGTGGGTGCTGCAGAGGGATGGGGAAACTGAGGCAGGACTGGAGGGGGGTGCAGCCTGAAGGGATGAGGGGAGTGTTCAAATCCTGCCCCACAGGCAGAACATGGGAGGGTGCTGCACTCAGGGCAGGGGGGGCTGGGAGAGCTAGGGCCGTGTGCCTGCACCCCCCGTGCTGCAGGTGGCCCTGCCTGTCCCCGTGTCCCAGACTGCCGTGTCCCGCTTTCGGCAGCAGCTGATGCCCCGCGGGGGCTGTGCCCGGCGCGGGGGTGCCAGGGGACCCTCTGCCCTGTCTTGGCACGGATCTGTGACCGGGTTAACAGGCTGGGAGGTGGCTGGGGGGATGCTCTGCATGGACCCACCCTGGGTCAGGCCCATGGGCCTCGGAAGGGCTCTGGGGTCCCACCCCGGSGACGTGGGCACAGCCCCTTGGGCACCCCCGGCCCGGACCCGCTCAGTGCCGAGGGYTGCGCTGGTGCCGGGGAGGGAGCGGTGCCTCGTCCAAAGGTCGCGGCGGTGACTGCTGCGGCTCTGACGCCGGTACCGGGCCCTCGGCTCACCGGGCTTTCCCAAAACACCTTCCCCGTGTGGTGCCACCCGCGCCGCCCCGCAGATCCCGGCTGTGACACCCGCCCGGTGTGCCCCAAGCKTCCTGCCTCAGTTTCCCCTCGCCGTGTCCCTCTGTGCCCGCGGCCGGGCTGTCACGGGACTCCCGGGTGTGCCCGGGCGTCGCGGCCCCGGTCCCGGTCCCGCCCTGCCGGCGCCTCTGCCCCCACACCGGCTCGGCCGGGCCCGGTTGCCCCGGGGTTGGGAGCGGGCCCTGAGTCAGCGGCGGCGCGGGGGGGTTCGCGTGGGGCTCGGCCTCTCCCGGTGTCACCCCGGCAATTACCATCTCTGCCCTCAGCCCGGGGGTGTCGGGGGGCTCTGAGGGTGGGGTGCCCACCCCTGTGCCACTCGTGTCCCCCCAGAGTCGCTGCTGGATGACATCGTGCTCACCCACTCGCTGTTCCTGCCCACCGAGCGCTTCCTGCAGCAGCTGCACCAGCAATATCCTGGGGGGCCCTGGGGGTGGGCACCAGGGTGGCCGAGGAGGGGTCCTGGGCTGGGCATGAGGAGGGAGTTGGGGGCGGTGAGGGTGGGCATCAGGGGACCGTGAACGGGACATTCTGGTGGCACCAGGGTTGGCGTGAGGGCGCAACCAGCAGGGCACCAGCATGGGCATGAGCGTGAGGGTGACAGAAGGGTGAGCACGGGGTGGCAGGGAGGGACATGGGGAGGGTGGCACGGTGCTGCGGGGGGCTCACAGGAGCAGCGAGAAGAGGATTGGGGCGCCAGGAGGGTGRGTTACAGGTTTGGGTGCCAGCTGGGCAGTGTGGCGCTACCAGGGAGGGCACAGAGACCCTCAGCGGGGTGCAGCGGGTGCCGGGGGGTGGCCGAGGGTCCCTCCTTGCCGTGGCACCTCCTTGACGGTGCCACCTTCGTGCTGGCGGCGGGCAGCCCCCCGGCGCGCTGGGAGGAGGGCTCCGGGCTGCGGCGCAAGCGGGCGGTGCTGGCCGTGCTGCTGCACTTCCTCGAGACCTACAAGGGGCTGCTGCAGGAGGAGGAGAGCGCCGGGAAGGTCATCAAGGTGGGTGTCCCCTCCCCGTGTCCCCTCCCCGTGTCCCCTCCCCGTGTCCCCTTCCCGTGTCCCTCCCGCAGCTCCGGCCCTGACCCCTCTCGCCCTGCAGGAACTTTACCTGCTCATCATGAAGGACACGTCCCTCTACCACGAGCTGGAGGACGAGATCATCAAACTGCACCAGCTCGTGGAGACCGTGGAGCTCAAGTGAGGAGGGGGTCAGGGGGTCCTGGGGGGTTCCTGGTGGGTCAGGGGGTCCGGGGGAGGGCAGGGGGTTCTATGGAGTCCGGGGTCCCTGTGGGACAAATGGGTGGACAGGGGGTCTCGAGGTTCCCTGTGGGTCAGGGAGTCCTCAGGGAGGGTAAAGGGTCTCGGGGGGTCCCTGTGGGTCAGGGGCTCCCCAGAAGGACAAGGAGTGGTGGCCCTTGGGGGTGGCGGGAGGTTTGAGTGGTCAGTCACCTCCCACCCTGGTGCCCTCCTGGTTGCGCCTTCACGTCCACCTTTGTGTCCACTCTTGCCCTGGCCATGCCCAGGCTCGGACCCCTGCCCAGGCTCGGACCCCTGCCCACTTCCCTCCTGTGCCCACCCCGCTCCCGTGCCCACCCTCAGAGTGTCCCTGTGCCCTCAGAGTGTCCCCGTGCCCTCCCGGTGTCCTCCCTGTGCCCTCCCTGTGCCCTCCCTCCTGCCCTGAGCGAGCTGGGGGCTGCCGGGTCACCCCGCGGATCTCGGGGTGCACCCCGGGGGTCCGGCCCTGCCTGAGCCCTGTCCCGTGTCCCCCCCAGAGTGGCCGACGAGACCCCCCCGCCCAACAAGCAGGTGAAGCCGCTCTTCCGGCATTTCCGACGCATCGACTCCTGCCTGCAGACCCGGGTGGCATTTCGGGGCTCTGACGAGAGTGAGTGACTGCGGGGGGAGCTGAGGGCCACCGGGATCCTCTCCGTGACCCACCACCCACCGTGCGGTGCCTTGCCCGCTCCGGTTCGGCTCAGAGCCCGCCCCGTGCCTCAGTTTCCCAGGGGTGGTGCGGGGGTGCCCGGCGCTGACCCCTCGCCCTCTCCCCAGTTTTCTGCCGCGTTTACATGCCCGACCACTCGTACGTCACCATCCGCAGCCGCCTCTCGGCCTCGGTGCAGGACATCCTGGCTTCGGTCACCGAGAAGCTCCAGTACTCGGAGGAGCAGAGCGCCCGCGGGGACGCGCTCATCTTGGTCACCGTGGCCTCGTCCGGAGGTGCCCGGGGGTCCGGGGGTGCTGCGGGCAGGGTTGGGGAGGGGGTCCGGCCGGTGCTGACCCCACCCCTGTGCCCCACGAGCAGAGAAAGCGGTGCTGCAGCCCAGCGAGGAGTGCGTGTTCACCACCCTGGGCATCAACAGCCACCTGTTCGCCTGCACCAAGGACACTTTCGACTCGCTGGTGAGCTCCGAGCTGGGGACAGGACCCTCCCCGTCCCCTGGCACGGCGATGGTTCCCTGCTCCGAGCGGGGGGGACCCTCCCCTGAGCCCCCTGAGCCCCCTGAGCCCCCCGCCCGCTGTCCCCCCGCAGGTGCCGCTGCCCGAGGAGATCCAGGTGGTCCCGGGGGACACCGAAATCCACCGCGCCGAGCCCGAGGATGTCGCCAACCACCTCACAGCCTTCCACTGGGAGCTCTTCCGCTGCATCCACGAGGTTCGGGGGGCTCGGGGGGCGCGGGGGGTGGGGGTGCCATGGGGGGGGATGGGCTCTGATGGAATTCAGCGGGTGTGTCCCCCCGCTCCTCCCCGCAGCTGGAATTCGTGGATTACGTGTTCCACGGCGAGCGGGGCCGGCGGGAGACGGCGAACCTGGAGCTGCTGCTGCAGCGCTGCAGCGAGGTGCAGCACTGGGTGGGCACGGAGCTGCTGCTCTGCGAGGGGCTGGGCAAGCGCGCCCACCTACTCAAAAAGCTCATCAAGATCGCTGCCATGTGAGTGGGGGGCTGGGGCGTGGCKGGGGAGGGGTCTCGGGGTGCTCGGCTCGCCCCTCACGCTGTCCCCCACCAGCTGCAAGCAGAACCAGGACATGCTGTCCTTCTACGCCATCGTCATCGGCCTCAACAACGCCGCCGTCAGCCGCCTGCGCCTCACCTGGGAGGTGAGGGACGGGRGTCCCCCGAGACCCCCCTGCTGCTCCCAGACCTTCCTGGGTCTTTCTGAGCACCCCCAGCTGCTCCCCGACCCTTTCCTGGGTGATCCCAGACCAGCCCTGGGTGCTGCCTGTTCCCCCCAGGAACTCTCACCCCACCCTCCAGTGCTTCCAGGACCCTCTGGATGCTCCCAGACCACCCCTGGGTGCCCCCTGGGACAGCCTGGAGGCTCCAAACCCCCTCAGGATTCTTGTGCCCATGCCTGGCTATTCCTAAACCTCTTTTGGGTTCTTCCAGACCCTGCCTTGAGTGCCTCTGGAACCTTCCAGGAGCTCTCTCCCCCACCCCAGTGCTCCCAAAACTTCTCTGGGCACTCCCAGGAACCTCTGGATGCTCCTGCCTTCCCCTTTGGTTCTGTCTGACCCCGCTTTGGTGCTCCCAGCCCCCCTCTGGTGCTCTCTGATCCCCCTTTTGGTGTTCCCCAACCCCCCTTTGGAGCTCCCAGCCCCCCCTCTGGTGTTCCCTGACCCCCTTTTGGTGCTCCCTGACCCCCTTTTGGAGCTCCCAACCCCCCTTTGGAGCTCCCAGCCCCCCCTCTGGTGTTCCCTGACCCCCTTTTGGTGCTCCCTGACCCCCCTTTGGTGCTCCTCACCCTTCCCCCCTTTTTTTTTTTGCCTTCCAGAAGCTCCCAGGGAAATTCAAGAACCTCTTTCGGAAGTTTGAGAACCTGACGGTGGGTGAGAGGTGTGGGGAGGGGTCCCACGGCTCTTGCGGGGTCCCCAGGCCTCCCCAGGGTGTTTGGGGACATTCCTGAGGTGTCCCGGAGTGTCCTTGTCCCCCAACCCCAGGCCACCAGCCCGTCCCCATGGCCACCAGCGTGGGTGGGGGGGATCCAGGGCACCCTCAGGGAGATCCCCCAAAATTCTGACCCCCCATTTCCACSCCAGGACCCCTGCAGGAACCACAAGACCTACCGGGAGGTGCTGGCCAAGATGAAGCCYCCCCTCATCCCCTTCGTGCCGCTCATCCTCAAAGGTGAGGGGAGGGGTCTCAGGGGGTGCCCCACGGGGTTTGGGGTCTCTCTGACACCCCCTGAGACCCCCCCATCACCCCCTCTCTCCCCCCAGATCTGACCTTCCTGCACGAAGGCAGCAAGACCCTGCTGGATGGGCTGGTCAATGTGGAGAAACTGGTGAGTTCAGGGGGGGAAATGGGGATGAAAGGACCCCCCGAGGGGCTGGGAGACCCCCCCAGGATTTGGGGGACCCCCCGAGGGTTTAGGGTTCCCTTATTGGCGGGGTGGGAGGGTTCAGTGTCCACTGGGTGCAGAATCCAGGGGGGAGGTCCCTGAGGGTATGGGGTGTGCAGGGGGCTCCTGGAGGGGTTGGTGGTCCTGGGTGGGGTCTCGGGGGTCTGGGGCTGACTCTGGGGTCTCTCTGTATCCCAGCACTGCATCGCCGAGAAAGTGAGAACCGTGCGGAAGTACCGGAGCCGCCCCCTCTGTGAGTGGGGGGAAGAGGAGGGGGCGCTGCCGGGGGGTAGGGGAGCACTGCATCGCCGAGAAAGTGAGAACCGTGCGGAAGTACCGGAGCCGCCCCCTCTGTGAGTGGGGGGAAGGGGAGGGGGCGCTGCCGGGGTTAGGGGGGCACTGCCGGGGGTAGCGGGGCACTGCCGGGGGTAGGGGGACACTGTCGGGGGTAGGGGGGCACTGCCAGGGGGGACACATGGCCCTGAACCTGCGGTGCTGGCCCTGAGGGGATGGGGATGTGGCTGGAGCATCCTCACACATATTTGTTCATGTTCTGCATCCCCATCCCTGATCCCTGAATTCCTGCATCCCTAAATCTCTGCATTCCCATCCCTGTATCCCCATTCCTCCATCCCTGAATCCCCATTCCTGCATCCCTGAATCCCTACATCCCCATCCCTCATCCCTACATCCCTCATTCCTGCATCCCTCATCCACCCTTCATCCCTGAATCCCTGAATCCCTGAATCCCTATATCTCCATCCCTGAATGCCTATCCCTTTATCCCTGCATCCCTGAATCCCCATTCCTGAATTCCCATTCCTCCATCCCCAAAACCCTGCATCCCTCATCCCT